TGGTGGGGTGGCACTTGAGCACCTTCTAAGAACCTGAAAAGCTTTCTCGTTGTCTTCGCCCACGAGGAATGAATCCAAAAAGACACTACTGCTCGCATCGACGCGTGTGGGCGAAGATTGGCAGACGCCTTACATCCTGGTGTCCGAATCCTTCCGCAACGATCTTCTCCATGATGCCGTCCCATGCCGCGGGATCCACGGGCCCATCGCACAGCGCTGAAACGAAAACATACGAATTTCGCGGTATTGTTGTACGAGAGACGAGAAGAAAACATTTGGTTGAAGGCGTATCCATCAAATATGACATGATACGGCAACTAACAATAACCGAGCCACGACGAGGGTGACGGCAAAGGCACTAGGGCAATGTGGATTGATTCCGAACAAGCGTGGACGGAATACCATCAGTACCTCTAAATCGATACCAAACATTAGGTATCGGTATGATTCGACCCTCTGGTCTTGAAACAAAACCCACAAGAACAAGACAGCTTTTTTACCGTTGCCCCCCCTGATGACGCGATTCCCAGCGATGTCCACAAGGGTGACGGTCTTCGTGTCTCCAGGCTCGAACCGGACGGCCGTGCCGGCGAGGACGTGGAGGCGTTTGCCGTAGGCGCGGCGGCGGTCGAAGCGCAGCTCCTTGTTCGTCTCCACGAAGTGGAAGTGCGACCCGACCTGTGGTGGGTAGTATTTAGTTGGTGGAGGGATGGAAGCACAACGTGTTGCAAACGACGGGGTTGTAACGGAGAGGAAGACAGGGAGAACGAAGAACGAAGCGTGAGTGGTCAGCAGAGGGGTCACACTTAATTCACCCGCCCACACGCAAGACGCGACCAGACGCCCCTCCACCCAACAAAGTTCAACCAAACACTACAAACACCCCAGCCCAAAGAATCATGGCACGACCAAACAGAGTAACAACATCAATGCTACCGGCCAACCGCCCACACCCAGCCCAATACTCAGCCACACACGCTACGACCCTAAACTGGCGTTGTTAAATGCTGCTCAGCACGTACCAACGCACGAGGCCGCCAAGCCACACACCTGAATGGGACGATCGCCCATGTTCGTGACGCTGAGGGAGAGCGTGGGCCTGCCCTTGTTAATCTCGAGCTGCTCGCCTTCTGGAGTGAGCACCTCGCCCAGGCTAATGGTCTCCCCTTCGGAATCTCCGAAGACGGAGAGGTCCGGTACTGGCAAGAATGATCCCTGCACACAACACACAGAAAAACAGCCGAGGCTGGAGAATCCTGCCATGAAAATGGTGCGTTGGTAAATTTATTGGAAAAACGCCTGTGGTGGTGGTGGTGGTGGTGGAATAAATTGAATCTCTTCACAACGCTTATCAGCGACCAAAAAATAGAGGGTCTTCAAGGCTGACATTCTCGCTGAATGAGTGCTGCCACAACCGCCCTCACAAACTCCAACGCGCCCGGTTTTCGCTAGCCGATGTACAGTATCAAGACTGCAGCAGGGGTAGCCGCTGTTGGTGTCAGCATTTTGCTTCGAAACTTTCTTTTTGGACATGTTGTCGCTACTCCTTTACGAACCAAACAACGTGCTTGATGCCGCCCATCGTTCCTAACTGCCGAGAAGAGGCAGGACTTTTGCCAATTTCCACTATCTTAAACGAATGAGTTGGGGACAGAGAAGAGAGAATCAGTACAAGTGCTCTTCGTTGTCGACATCACCGTGGTCGTCGTCAAGAATGCTGCAATTCACCTGGAGGGCGAGTGCGAGGTCACCGTCCTCCTTGCAGATGGGGACGTGGATGGTGACAAGCTTGGTGCCATCCGGAAAGGTCCCCTCCACCTGCACCTCGTTCATCTCCGAGGCAACGCCAGGCATCACCTTCAGACGCGGGATAGTAACAGCACAGCGACACCAACATCAACAACATCAACAACAACGATATCATTCACGCATACCAGGGCCTATCCTACACGCTCGCCTCGGCCGTGGAAGCCCCTTTCCGTCAACATGTATCCAACACACACAATTGTTGGACATGCATGCCTGACTGCCACTCCCGCAAAATTTGAAATCTGTCCGTAAGCGGTAGCCGCAAACCAGTCTGACTCCAAGCGTGTCATGAACCATTCAAAACGTACCGAGTCCTCCAACGACGGTGCCCTGCCTGCAGTTCATCGACGGACCTACTCCGCTACCGGCGTGCCAACTGCAAGGTGAAATCGCACGGACGCCTCTCTAACCGACAGTAATTAACCTAGGGTCCCCGTGCATCACAGGCAAGGAAGATAGGTACCTGTCGGTGCCCGAGCATCTTCCGGCCGGTGTCCTGCAGCTCCGCTACGCTCGCCCCATTCCTGATGAACTCGAGCAACTACGCCGTCATGCCACCGTCCCATGTTGGGGCCGTGTTGTGACGAGCAAAGCCAGCGTGAGTAACAGTGCTTGAGAACTTTAGATAACTGGAATTTTTTTTTCCTTCCGGAGCGTCACTTTCGCTTTTTGTAAGTTAGGGTGTGAAATTTATGTATCCGAGGGCAATTGAAGGTGGTGGGGACAGGGGTGGTCATAACCAGGACGTTCAATAGACTCTCAACGAGGTAGTATCGGTCGTCAAAAGTGGACGTCTCGACAATACCCGGGCACCACATATTCTGCCAAGGCGCCGGTAGCACAAGCGTCTGAAAACCCACCGTGTTTCAAAGGTTAAGCTCAAGGCCAGAGTGGTCCTCGGCGCAGCCGTGGCGCGGACAAGAGTGCGGTCTTCGACATGTGCATGCATGCTGCGGACGTCGAGCATGTGTGCCACCATCTACAACAGCTCAAGCAGCGGGAACTTCGTCGTACCTGAGTCGCGATGAGAGCGACGCACTCCGGGAGGTTGAGCCTGGTGCCCCTAGCCAAGCGTTTCTGCGCAAGGAAGCCGACCTACGACAGGGAGGCGGGCGGGGTTCTGCTCAACAGAGTGTTGGTGGTATTGTTGCTTTTGTCAAGCTGCTCTGACTCTATCCAGTACCCCTTCTTTCCGTCACGGCAAGATGAACATGACACAATAGAAAGTACAAGAGCAAGTTCCACAAACCATTGAAAGAAAAAAAAGTTCCAAGAAATGCAAGCCAAAGGCGAAGAGAAGGGGAGGGGAGGGGAAGGAAAGAACGGAGGCGAAATCCGATCAGTCCAACTTGGAAGCTGAATACAAAGAATACATGGCATTTCTTATCTAGGCAATGTAACATTATGTGATGACCGAGCTCTCTCCGCAACGAAACGCGTGCAGGTCGGAGGCTGGGAACTAGTAGCATTGCAAAAAAAAAAACACGTGCTTCTAAGCCGTCATCCATCCTCAAAATACAGAAAAAAAATGTCGGGGCCGATCTTGGTTGTGCATACTTTCGTGGACACATCCCACAGCCTGTAGTTTTGCAAGATCGGGGTAGGTTCAGGATACATAATACCGCTGACGATAGCACGACAGCAAATCCAAAGGGGTGCCGGCGGATGCCAACGGGCAACGAGCGTTTTGAAATTCAAATCTATCGAGCTTGGTACTCGTACTTACCGGAGGTTGATAAAGATCTCTGGACCGATGTTCAAACCGCTATTTTTCCACGACGAAGGGGATGCCAAAAATCAAACCCACATGTTCTCGAAAAGCTCTCGACCAGACAGCTACTACGCCGCCGGTGTTGGGCACCGCCGGTATTTTTGCGGCAGTGATCGAGCGTTGACAATCGGTCCAAAAGGGGGCGTGATATCCTGTGCAGCCGACAGTGGTCTTCAGCAGTGTTGTATTATACAACAGTCATTCTGCTCCTACAGATAGATACTGCACACGCGAACGACACAATAGAACACGAAGGATTCGGTACAACCGTGAATCCGTGGTTTGTGGAAGCGTTCCGGAAATTTCGTGGAAGAGCGGCGAGATAATAAGTGGTACACGGGGGTATAGCTATACACAGGGTACAAAGAAGAGAGAGAGTTTGGCAGAAGCTTTTGGGATCCTTCGGAAGCCGAGGACCTCGAAGGGAAAAACGTTGCATCGCCCGCAAAGGCAGTGCAGCAAAGCAGCAGCGAGAGAAAAGAGTTTTCGTTTGGGACTTGATCGAATTTTGATCCTGTCCTAGACAGGCCGGAGTGATGAACAACGGCAACAACCCGCAGCAGCAGGGTCAGGGTCCCCCCCAGCAGCCGCAACCAGCGCAGCCAGCGCCACCTCCACCGCCACCACCGCCGCCCGGACCACCGCCCGCAGCTAACCAACAACAGAGCAGCGGCGGCGGAGGAGCAGCAGCAGCGGCAGCTCCCCACGGTGGCGGACAGGCAGGAGCAGCGGGAGACCAGCCAGCAGCGGCGGTGGGAAACCAACAGGCGGCGGCGGGAAACAACAACGCGCCCCCGGCAGCAGGAGGCGACCAGAACGCGGGCGGAGCCGCGCCAGCCGGGCTGGGAGGCCCACCTCCCCCCCTCAACCCAGTCCAGCTACTGCTGCAAATGTCGGTACTCCTAAAAGAGCAAAGCGACCGACTCGGCAACCTGGAGATCAGGATGCAGCAGCAGCAGCAGCAGCAGCAGCAGCAGCAACA